AATTCTATAATTAAACCATGGTTTGATTAGTAGTAAACTTTTATACTAGAAAGAATTAAAATTAATAAAAAGCTTTTATATTAAACCATGGTTTGATTTTTCATTTATTTTTCTATTAGATCAAATGAAAATAAAATAAACATTTCAAAATCAAACCATGGTTTAATTTTTTTGTGGATAGTTAAGTTGTCTAAATTAATTACTAGATCTAAAAGTACAATATGATCAACTATAGTCAGTGAATGAATTTTTAAGCATTGATAAATCAAACCATGGTTTGATTTCTTGTTAACACTGTAACTAAATTAAAGTTATTGAAAGATTTTTAGATCAAACCATGGTTTAATTTTTTTACAAATAGTTAAGCAGTCCAAATTAATTACTAGATCTAAAAGTACAATACAATCAACTTTAGTCAGAGAGTGAAAGAATTGTTGAGCATTGATAAATCAAACCATGGTTTGATTGATAGGAGAGCAAGATAGCTATCAAGCCAATCTATGTCAAATGTTTGTTTAAGAGCAAATCATATTATTAGTAATCATGTTGTTTACTTTTTTTTCAAGAAAGACAAGGTGTTAGGTGCTGAAAGGATTTTGGTTTATTTCTCTTAGGGTTGTACATCTTATTCAAAATTAGTAGGTACAGATGATAAATTACTTTCAGTACTGCTGCTGTCATTCCTAGGCTCAGGTTCCTGGCTGCTCTCACTAGTGAAGGCTCACCACTTCCTTAACCATCTCCTCACCATGGGCAGTTTGACCTTTGGATGAGGCAGTTCCATCACAAAATTTTCAGGTTAAATTCTCCTTGCTCTGCTTCATGTCTTGGGTGGTGCAGCCTAGTTGAGTGGTTGTTCATCAAGGGTTTCAGTTCCTTCAAGGTCATTCTCAGGGTTCAGGTCATACCTGTGTTGGTTGAGGAATGCAGCATAGCTCTACAACACTCTTCTCACAGCCTGTCACATGTCCTGCTCAGCAGTCAGTGGGATAGATGTAGCATCAGGTGTGGCAGTCTTACCTTGGTCATCTGCTCCTGCTGCTTCTGCCAGCTCAAAACCACCAGCTCTGACAGCTCCACAAGCAAACACTGCCAGAGTGCCTGATAGGTCTACTTTGCACCAAAAAGGACACCTTGTAGTACAAGATCAGCTTGAAGCTGTTCTGTCCAAAGAAATGGCAATCCTTGAAGTTCCCAGTTGGACACCCACATGCTTTCCTGAATCTTTCATCCCCAAGTGGTCCATGGAAGTGTCTCATAGGGCTATTGTGTGTTAGGAGGTGAAGACCCCTGGAGGGGCAGGGGAACCTACTATCTCTTCCTCCTCAGCATGATAATTGAAGAATGCCATCACTTCCTAGTGAAAGGGATCAGTTCCAAGGTGGTGTTGCACCCAGCTCCTCAGCTCATTCTAGATCCCAAGGTCAAACCTCTTCCAGTAGTCAGCAGCACTCATTTTGCCTTGGTCAAGGAGTGCTTGCACCTGGTCCAGAGTGGTGGTCTGTTCTGGTCAGCAATGGTCCAGACACCTGGTGCAGAAAACCTTATGTAGGTGGGCTTGACAGCAGAGTTGTTCTAGTGTTTAGAGCTTTAGTAAATCAGCATGTAGATCTAATTCTCTAGATCATCAGCACAACTGTCATTGTCTGACCAGGTCCAATTGGGATGCTGTTGTGAGTAGGCATCAAGCAACCTATGGATGGCCTCTTTCCATGTTTCATTTCTCCAGTCTTTGGATGCATTTCTAGGCTTTTCATACTAGGGATTGATCCACATCACTACATGGTGTAGGATGTACCCTGCAGTCACCCCAACTTTGTATGTCAAACTTGCAAATTGAGCATAGCTGATGATGCTGACATCAGGATTGTGGACAAAGTACTGATACACAGTAAAGTACTCTATATCATCCAGGTAGGTGAAAAAGCCTGCACATCAGCTTGAGTGCTCCTTTCCCCAGATAAAGACAGCTTCCTGAAGAGCCACCTGGTGTGTTTGATTCTTGCCAGCTGTTCCAGGTGGAAAGAACAAGTTTGTGAGCTTGGTCCATGTAAAAGGCTGGCTCAATCAGGCCAATGCATTGACCTCCAAGGCTTGGATGGAGGGGAACTTTTGATCAAGGGCTGATTGAAGGGTGTCCAGCTGTGCCATTAGTATGCCATGAAATCACTGCAGGAATGGTAAGCTTCATGTGTCAAAGGCAATCACAGAAACTTACATCATGCATCCACAACTTGATGGTGCTGTCAAATGCACCAACAGTCATGGTCTTCCAGCCCCATGCCATCTGACAGAAACAGTCAATGACATTCTTCAAAGGATGCCAGAAGAGTGTGTACCATCACTGTGCCTTGAACACAGAGAGCTTGCTAACTTAGCACCCCCATTGCTCAAACACACTCTTTGATTTGAAAATGGTCTTTCACTTAGCAGCAGACTTGTCATCTAGCAGGGTCATAAGCTTGGCCTAGAGGTCACCATCAGTGTCAACTAAGATTGTCAGCTTTCAGTTTTCTTGTAGACATGCTCTGCTCAGTGCACTGAGCTTTGCCTTGTTGAAAAAGTCAACAGGCCAGGCAGTGAGCTAATGTATGTCAGTGTATAGAAATCAAACCATGGTTTGAATGATGACAAACTGATTCATCCAGACTCACAATTTGCTCTTGAAGTGCAAGTATGGCTACATGTCAGTGCTGACCAGCATAGAGGACAGGTGATCAGCCCCCACCAAGTGTTTCTAATTGTCAAAATTCTGAGAAGCAGCCCTAAATGCACCAGTCTCCTGCCATGGCCCTTCTTAAGGCCTCCTTCAAATGCTCTCCTTCATTGAGAAGGGCCCAAACCATCTCCTTCTAATGGGAAAGTGAAATGCTGGCAAGCATTCAATTTTCAATGGGTGTTTTGTGTATGCCAGTCTCAGCAAAGACACATTGAAGATGTTGCACATGGTGCACATTAAGCAGCTGGTTTCCATGTATGGAGTGGACCCAGGAGGTGTTTAACTCTTCTACAAGGACAGCAACTGTCCCAAGATATGCCTGCAAAATCTCTTCATCCACAGACTCATTCACCTGGAGATGCAGCTGGGAAGAATCACTACAATCACTCTCAGACAAGCTGGATGACAAGTTTTCTGCTTTGCATTGGCAAGACATGGCTCTCAAGATGGGCAAAAGGGCATGTGGGTATCATAGTGGCACATCTACAGGGTGGGTCAGCAGCTATTTAAGCCATGTTTTCCTCATAGTTAATTGCTAACACACTTGGATGCCATTTCAGGCATGATAAAGAATGAATTCTGGCATTATTCAAACAAAGAATTACTATTAGGCTGTATGCCTGGCTTGAACCACTAAGATGGTCTAAGCAGTGCTCAAAGAAAGCCTGAAAGAAATTTCTAGATGATACAAACTTAGCAGAATGCTGCATGCAGATGCAAACACACTTGCTCAAACATTCATTGATCCTTGAAGTACACTTGCTGTCTGGCCCACAAGGACAAAAAGACAGCAAAAAGGATTAGGGCAGCAAGGAGTCATGTGATCTCATGACCATTTTGTCATGTGCATCTACAAGACCACAATCTATTCATGGCAAGTCACATCCTGGAGGCTTCATCATGTATCAGCTGGTCAGCAATGCTCATCTGCACAGGAGTACTCCCTTCAGGGTGCTGGCTCTGATTGTGGGGAATTGCTAGCATGGTGGTGAGTTAGCAACTCCTTTGTCAAGAGAGATGGGTCAGAATGATGAACTTGGTGCTGGCAATCTTTGACACTTCCATGAGGCTCTAGCATCTGCCCTGTCACTCTTACAAAGTTCCAAACTCAGCCAGGACACATCCTCTTGGTCATCATTAGCATTGAGATTATAGCCTTTCAATTGGAGGAATTCAGCATACTGGCAGAGAGTATGACAGGCATTGTTCACCTCATCCTTCTCACAGATTAGCTTGGAATCCAACCATGGTTTGATTTGGACATACCATTGTCATTCTCTCCTTGTGTGCACAGGTTCTTCTTGACAGTAGCTCTAGATCCCACTCACTCTGCCACTGCAGTTGTCTCTTGATAGCACTGTACATGAGCCTGGTGCAGAATATAGCACTTTCATGATCCATGATCTTTCACTCCACCCATGGAGACACTAGATGCATGGCATTGGAGTCTTGGAGTGACCTCTACATCACAGCACAGGTCTTGGTAGCCCAGCTTGTCCATGGCTTTGATTTGGGATCCTGACAGAGTAAGCCCTTCCTGCTGTACCACAAGATGATTCCTTACCTGCTCAATGAGACCATCTAGGAGAAATGACCACAGGTGTGCAGATGGTATGTTGTCTTTCACCAACTACAGTATGTCACACCATGTTTCATGCTCAAAGCACTTCTGGTATTTAGTAATAGCAGCTTCTCAAGGCTTCATCTCTGTCCATTTAGATGGTGGTAGAGTCTGTGGCCATTAGTGCATTGCCTCATCCCCTGATGGTAATGGGTAAACTCAGTACATAGGTCAAGGCAAGAGCCTTCTCTTGCCATCCTACACAACATTCTCTAGTGATCATCTCAATCAGATAATCAACTAAACCACAAGCTCAGTGGCCCCCAGTGTCCTCCTGGCCCTTAGCCAGAGGCATGCCCAGTTCTAGCTCTCATGTTAGCACATCCACCCATTGTTCATTTCACCACTCTTTGCTCACATTGGCAGGCTTTGTGTACATCAAATTGAGCCAGTGAACAATGTGCTCAATGACATGGCTGGTGATGGTCATCTCTCCATTGGCCAACACAGCCAGCTCAGAGAAGGTGTAGACCTCTGGAGTTCTCTTCAAAACAGTCATGAACAGCATATGATACTCCTGCTCCAACAGATACAAGAAGAGCTGGTAGTGATGGTAGAGATGGTCATTCCCTACAAGCCAGACAGCATCATCCAGTTTTACAAGGTCTGATTTCAATCACACCTCTTGCTCTGTCAGATAGAACAGCCTTGCCATATATAGCTCCATTACATAATCTTGTTCCACAATCCAATACACAATCTCCACATCCTGTCAAGTGTATTTTGTGCTATGCTTGTTTCTCAGGAGGTCCCTCATGCCTTCAAAGGTTTTGTGGAACAGCTTTCACCACACCTGCATAGCACTGTTAGCAAATCCACTCCCAGAATCATTTTTTTGCCTGCAGCAGACCTGATCCAAGCATGTCCAAGCCATACAATCAAAGGCAGAAATCTTAGCAGTCTCCCAGCTCTACAGTGTTATACAGATCCAATCCAGAAGGTCCTTCAAAGGATGCCAAAGTAAGGTGATGAATCACTGTGCATCCTTGCCATCAATGCACAACACCTGTGATGCCCACATTTGGAAAGACATTTTCAATTTCATGATGCTATCTCATTCACCATCTAACATTGGTTCTAAGAGAGCAGACAATCTTGCCCAGAGGTCACCATCACTTTCAGGGAGTATCATCAGACACCAGTTCTCCTGTAGTTGTAGCATTGCAGAGTGGTCAAGGTGTCCCATGTCATAGAAGTTGCAGGGCCACATCAGAATCATGACAAACTATGATAAAGATGAGTTGCCATTTAAACCATGGTTTGATTGTAGAAGCTTACTACATCTTTCTTGTCTCCAGTAAAATTATCTAAATGTACACAGAGGACATGACAAATGGCAGCTTGACAATGTTGGCCAGCAAATAGCAGTAGGCTCAAATCCCAGATGTTAGGCACAGAGGGAAACATGGCCAAGGTTAGATGATATTAATGTCTGGCATTTTTCATTGCTTCCCATTCAGCTAGCTTATCCAACTGTGCCCAGTTCAACAGCTCATTCCAGGCCATTAAATTACAGCCACCAATGATCCAATTCTCAAGGGGTTCTTTCTGAAGACACACATTGAGAAATTGGTCCACCAGAGCCTTGGCTTGATTTAACCACAGAGGGCAGTTGGCAGTCAAGATTGAGCCCTAGTCAGCATTAAGGTGTTGGATGTTAACTGCCAAAGTTCCTAGGTACACACCTGCAATCTACTCTTGGACAGAATCATCACAAATGAGATTGCTCTTTTGAAGTGCTAAGGAGCCTGTTTCATTTTGCACACTCTCCATGGGAACTCAGTGGGATGAGATTTGGAACATGGGAGTTGGGTTGCTCAGCTAGACAAATTAAACAACAGTTTGATTTTCACCACCTAAAATTAGCTAAGCACTTGTCCAAGGGTAACTTGATCAACATTCTGGAGCTATCTAGGGCTGGGCAATCTGCTCTCTACTACCTATATCTATCAATTTTGGTTGAGCAAGCTGAATGTTTTATTGGGGACCAATTCCTAGATTCATGATCTCCTACTCCAAGATACAATTTCTCATGCAATCTATTCAAAGTTAGTGAAGGCCCAGTTGAGGCACCAACAAAAACCACAAAGAAGCAAGCATACCATGGACAGTTCATCAAGAACCTGGTGTTCTTTGAGGTAGCTCTTGATCATTGGCACCTATAACCTTTGTCAACAAACCCTATGTCATACCCACAGCACACACACTCATTTGATACCTTGTTGTTGTCCCAGGACATTGCAGCTTGCTTGTTCAAGTGTGTTTGAGGTTGTCTTCCAAACCATCCTATCCAGCCAGAGGGACAAAACATCTTCTGTGTCATCCTCTGGGTCAAGATTGTATCTATAGGCATTTAGATATGTCACATAGTTCTAAAGCCAAGTGTAGCAGACAGTCTTCTCTTCCTATGATGCCATCAATAAGGAACAAGATTATCAAACCATGGTTTAATATTTACTTACTTTGTTCAAGGGCTCTTCTTTGATGATGGCAGCCTGCTTATGCTTCTTTGGCATGAACATGACAGGGTCATCATAGCAGAGGGCTTTGCAGAGCACAAAGTATGACCATCTTGCCCCAAAGATAGCCCCCTAATTTTCCAGGTCAACAACATTCAAGTCTGAATGCAGAAAGTTCAAATTTTTCAACTCTGGGTTCAGAGACATCATCATCTCATGGATCTTTGGACCCCAGATGGTCCACAGCTTTGATTTGAGTCCCTGCAACATAGTCAGGATGTTGCCCCAATCATCCTTCTGTGCTGTGACTTGGGTTACATACCTTGACAGATATACTGGCCATGAGTAGATTCATGATTGCTCCATCACAGAAATACTCTTCTACAAGTCTGAGAATGTCAACCCATACTTCTAGGTCAAACCTTTTATGATACATCAAAACATTGCATTCCTGATCACCCCCTTTTTCATATGCCTCTGGCAACTCCTCCTGTGTTAAGCATTACCAGGAGTACTAGTAGACATGATTGGCAGGCACTTACATAGGTTTTGGTCAACACCTTTTCCAGCTAGATTGGATTATCCCACACAAGCTCAAAGAGTCACACAATAAACACATTGACCAGGTTTAATTGACATCTCAGCCAGGTCATACTCTTGATATCTGGTCAGATCTGTGCACTAAGGAAAATCAACTACTGTTTGTACCACCTTGCTGCATTAGCATTGCCAGGTTTTTTGTACTGTCAATGTACCTACTTCATTATATAGTGCAGAAGAAACTTGCACACTCTGCCAGGACCTGAAGCAAGATGGCCAATGTCAAGAAAGTCATGTAGATGTAGCAGACTTCTCTTGAGGGTGTTGTAGACTCTATTATAGTCATCATTTGAAAGGTATGAAAACAAATGAGGGGGTCACCAACTTGCACCATCTTTGTCACAGCTTGTCCCCAGCAACTGCTAAATATCTTTGGCAGGAAAAAAGTACTTCTCAAGGTCTAAAGGTTGTGTCATCTTTTTGCCAGCTAGCTTGACCACATTGATGTCTTCTTTAGTAATTTTGTTCTTGTTGTGCTCACCTACCAACCTCACCATTTCATCCAGGGTGTGCCGAAAGAGACAGACCCACACCTAATGCTGCAGTCAGTGATGGTACAAATTTCCTTTAGGTATTGTATGTACTTCATCAATGTGAGTGTATGCAATGCAATCCACCATTGAGATCTACATTGCTTTGCAACCCCATGGAGTCAAGCATATTTCAGTGACAATTTCTGCAAGTAGATGTCAAAGAAGTGTAGTGAAACATTGAACACTTCCATTAGTCAGCCAGCTGATGCATGACACCCATGTCTCAAATGTCTTCTTGCTCTTGAGGATGGCGCTGCGCTCGCGGTCTGGCAAGAGGGACAGAAGTCATTGCATTCAAGCCCACAAGTTGCCATCTAACTCAGCAAGAATAATCAGTCAGAGATTCTCTTGGAGCTTCATTTTTGCTCCCACCATGAGTTTGTTGTCATCATAGAACTCGCAAGGCCACAATTTGACCTGTTTTGTTATTAATATAAACCATGGTTTGATTTTGTTTGAAGCATACCTTGCGTTTGTCTTCCTCGGTGAGGTTTTCAGTCGTATTACAAATGTGGATGATGGCCCCGCGTCTATGTTGACCGGCGTACAGCAGAACGTTCTCGTCGTCAATGTTAATAGTATGAAATTCGTGGAGATTGGTGGAGAACCTGTGAAGGCCATCTCGGATTTGACTGACAATTGCCGCGGAAAGGTTTCCTTTTGCAACTAGTCTGTTCCACGTCCCCTGATCACACCCGGCCACCAACCTATGATCGAACTCCTCCTTTCGGAGACCTGACTGGGTAAATATCTTCACCAGGTTCGTTACCTGGGACTCGGAAAGAGGACGATTGGCGTCAAGTCCTTCTCCCCAGTTGGTGTTCAACTTGTCAATAGAAACCAACACCGTACCAAGGTACGCGCTATTGATGGTGTCTGCAAGAGGGTCTGTAAATGTAAGGTTTTCCTTGGTGTAATCATGCTGTTGCTCTTCAGGTGCCAAGTGATTTTGCCCTGCTTTAAGTTAGTTTAAGTGTACAATCTTAATGGGAAGGTAATCCCTACCTCCACAGCCCTTCATGGATTCGTTTTGTCCTGTAGATTCTTAGCATCTTTTCCAACCTTGACCAACCTGGTAGAATCTAAGCTTACTAGCTCGTTGCTCTTGTGACATGGCTGCTAGATCAACAATAAGGTTAGACATGATAATGCTAATGTAATGAACAAGGCCTACAACTGGGAGCAGTATTCATGGTGTTTGGAGTTCCACCTGGCAGGGTCTGAGAATCTGCCCATGCTTAGCTTCTGTTGACAGCAGCTGGTCCAACAGTGTGTTAGGATTGTATTTAACTACCTGGATGATCAGACACTGCTTACAGTTAGTACTTTGTTATGTCAAGCTGTGTAGAAGCACTCACTAGTGTAATGTTGACTGACTATCACAATGCTAGTGTTGAGAAGAAGGAAGAAAATTTCTAGGCAGAAGCAACTAAATATACAAACATGTGCCTAGCTGTTACTATGGAGCTGGTTGCAGGCAATTGTTGCTGGGGCTGCTTTGTCTACAGTCATGGCAACAGAGTAAATCTGTAAAACAAACACAACTAGAGAACAATCTAGAATGTTCAAAGTCAGAGTGTAAAAACATGACTAAAAACCTCAAATGGTAAAAACAAAGGTATCTTTATGCTGTAACAGGGTACAAGAGTAGGGTTTGTACATTTGTAGAATTTAATAGATCATGTAAACAACTGAGTATGTGGTAGAATTAGGGTCTAATAACAGCTATTTTCTACACATGGTAAACATGAAATTGTAGCAGATTGATGCCAAACCAAGCATGCAGAAGAAAACTAGAGCAGTTTAAAAGCAGCCTCATTTATGCATCATGAAAACACTAAATAATGGAGCAAAAATCAACTAGTAAAGGTAATTTAAGGAGGCACATTATTTGAACCATCATGGTTGACCTAATTGACAATCTACAACCCATCACATGATGATAAGAATTTACAGTCAATACTATTAATCATATGACAGGTCAATGATATTTCTAATGTTTGAACTTGCTTATGGGTTTTTAAACCAAGGCTTTGTTTTTTATTAATATATACATTTGTTTTGAGCCTAAATTCTTTTATAATAGTCCTGTTGGGTCTTGGTTACAAGCATACATAAATCAAACCATGGTTTGATTCTATTCAATTACTTGGTGATTGAATGATAACAGGTCTTGCTAATACAAATTTAGATACATAATCAAACCATGGTTTAATCATTATATGCTTCCCAGAGCATTGAGCAACATGCCACCCATATGTCTTCACCTGTATTGAAAATGTCATATATGAAGGCATGTGGGTTTTGCCAGAGTTGCAACAATTTCTGAAGTCACTCTTCCAATGCAGAGGTAGGTAATACAATCTGATCTGTGAACCTGTAGTACAGATGATTGAAACCACTAGTCAAATGGACCCAGCCAATGTGTGCAACTAGATTATTGTTGATGCCCCATTGCTCTGATGATTATCAGTTCCACTCTTTTCTTTTATCGACAAGTTTCTTTCCTACCTAGTTTCTTCAACATGTCTTTGATTCCTAGTGTCTGTCCAGTACTCTCGTAAGAAAAACTCTTACTATAAAGTGACCACATAAGTCGAGTGCTCAGGACAGCTGCCCATTGTGCACAGGAGCCACGGTGTTTGGGATTTCCTTCCAACTGTTTGTGCCAATTAACAAACGGAAGAGGATATGGTGTGCTAAGAACTAAGCATAAGATAATCATGAGCTGTGTAGCTGGTTCATGTATATGCACCTGGAGCACATGTACTGCCAGTTGGAAGTGGTTATAAATGTTTTCATTTCCAAATGTAGATGTGCTTGAGAAGGTACACAGGTGCTCCTCATACCCCTGGAAGATCAGTTGAGGTATTTCCTCAAATGGATACATGTCAAGCATTTTGATAGTAGTGTCACAGTGCACTTTCATCCACCCATTCCTTTGTGCTTGACCCTCACAAATGAATCCAGACAAAGAGTACTTTCCAATAAGCCTTGTCTAGTGCCATATATTTAGCCTCTTTCCATACACTCCTGGCACACACTCAATACCATTCTGAGAGAAAAGTGCTGTGATAAACTCTTGCAGGTTTATAATGCTGTGATGTTTTCTCATCACCTGCAGAAATAGACACATGGTCTTGTACCATGATGAACTAGAAGGACAGAATGATCATGCATAGAGGGATTGAGTAGCTTGATCACCCAATGCAGCTGCAAGAAGCCAGGATGTAAAGTCTTGTCAGGTTACTTTGCATACCTCTTGTATACAAAGTAGATTCAGAGAGTTTAAGGTGCTAGTCTTGTTGCCAAGATAATCTTCAAGGTTACTCAAGGTGCAGAGCACCCTAGACAGCATTTAGTGTTTATGCAGAAATGTTCATTAAATGTGGAATTACCTGACAGAAAATGAAGCTTCATCACTTGCCCATCTTGTTATTGTTGATTCAAATGTAGAGTTGAAATCAGAGGTGTCTGTGACTGTTTGGTGCTGTTTCCTGCAAAGAGACCATAATCACTCAGCAACAAACTTTGTCATCTGTGGGACCCATGCATCCTTTAGTACTGTCCCAAAATTTTCTATTGCCACATGTAAGCTGATAGCAGATTGTCCACCAAACTCTCATAACCAGACAAGTATTGTAGTTGCCTCTCCAATTGCTCTTCCATAATGTACTGTAAGAGAAGAAACATGTGCCAGGCTTGGATAGCAGGACCCTCATTGGGAAGGCCAATTTGCAGCTACTAGTTTTCCCTGCAATGGGCAAAGGTCCAAAACATCCAATCATAAATAAGGCCACCCAGATAAAAATAGGCCTGGACACACTCTTTTTACCACACTAGATAATACCCATACATCACCAGTAAAACAGCAATTGCTCATACACTCAAAGATGGAGACCCCTTTACAAATCACAATGCTCAAATCATCCCACCCCTTTCTAGTCCACCTCAATACAAGATCATCAAAGGCAGCCTCAAAAAGATAACTAAATTCTACTAAAATACCAGGAAAACTCTGTGTAGTAGATAATTAGCAGCAGATAACAATCAATACCTACCTGACTTTACTTACATCAGGCAAGAATCAGTGCAACAAAGAGATGTACTCCAACAGGTAGGATTCAAAATAACTTATATACTCACAAAGCAGACAAAATATTTGAGTAATGGACCATTGTAACAGCAGTAGCCTACTAACATGGACCACAAAGATTTGTTCCATACAATACCCAACTAGTGAGTTTTCTATGGAGTCTATGATGCAGTTCCACTCCCAGGCAAGTGGCTTTGAATAAATCAAACCATGGTTTGATTGTTGTTCCACATCTGTAGTCAGGGACCTTCCTTGCAATAGAGCAAGCAGCTGCCTCTGCTTTCTTCTCTCCCATTGGCTGGAAACCTCCTCTCTCAATGTGATTGCCACACTAGTCCAACCCTTCATTACAGTCAAATCATCTAGGTGATGTCATATTGTGCTCTTGATTGTCAAGTAGCCTTGAAACTTTTCAGCCTGAAGCACATGTTGACATTCATTCTCCTCAGACATCATCTGCTACAATGGACCACAGATCCTGTTCTCAAGGAAGTCCAGAGGTCACAATGCTTGAAAGTTGACATATTGAGGGTTGAATCCCAGTAGATAGAAGTCCACTCCTGTCTTGTCCCACCCATACTCTTTCAAGATCTCATTCCTGTCTCCCAAAAGGCTAAAAACTTGTGGTACCCCATCAAGCTCACTCTGATGATGGATATTAACCGCTGGTGCAAATGAAGCAAGCAGGAGGGCTTCTACATCACAGAATGAATCAAGTTTCAAAACAAATGCATAATCCTCATCTGGCTCAATGCTGACATTGCTTCCATAGTCATAGCAGTGAAAGGCTGGCAGATTATCAGTCCAAAAGGTGTCTTGGGAGTGTTAGAGTACAAGATCTTGCCAGGCTGTCACAAAACATTCTTGGAAATACCACCACTCCCATGTGTAGAGAGTGCAGCTCTCATTCTTTCCAAGCTGCCAGGTGGGAAGGAGGCCACAATCTACAAGACTGTCATTGGTACAAAAGATCTCTTGCACATAAGCCAGGAGCACTTGAGCATGCCAGGCTTCTAGTGCACTCCATTTGGCTTCTGAACATAGCTGTTAACATGTAGGAGATTCAGCTGAGAGACCAGCCTGGCTCCAAGGGTGCATCATAACAAACTACTGCTCCCACCCAGGACCAGTTCCAATGTGCAGAGTCCAATGGTGGAGGGAGAACTGAAGTTGCTGAGCAAGATTTCTGTTACAGTGACACCTACAGATAGGCATCGGGTTGTATCTTCCTAGATAGTTCCCTGTCAGTACATCAAGGGTTCTCACCTAGTAATATAGTGTCCCACAATATTATTCAGTGATAGGAGCAATATAAGATGATATGGTAATTCAGGTC